TATTGTGTACATCAACAGTGAACAACTTCTATGACATGCCTTTACCATTTAACGTGTTGATTTTTCCATGGAATTAAGTCCTCGTTTCTGTGGCTGGTTGATAGTTTAATATAATGCATGAAAATGTTTTTGCATTAAATGTTAGTATAAAGTCTATATGCTCTGTGTCAGCTTAAGACAGATATTAATTCAAATATTTTTATTAGTATCTCTGTCATACAGGAGAAACACCAACTGCTTCTTTCTCTCTACTAATTGAAGTCCATCGCATGTTTTTAAAAGTGACAATATTGGGGCGCCTGGGTGGCTCAGTGGGTTAAAGCCTCTGCCTTTGGCTCGAGTCATGATCCCAGGGTCCTGGGATCGATCCCCGCATCGGGCTCTCTGCTTAGCAGGGAGCCTGCTCCCTCCTCTCTCTCTGCCTGCCTCTCCACCTACTTGTGATCTCTGCCTTTCAAATAAATAAATAAAATCTTTTAAAAAAAAAAAAAAAGTGACAATATTAACATGATTACTTCTAAAGTTCCTAACCCACACAGGTGATAATATAAGCATTCTTCTCTATTTGTATTAATTTGAATCTCAAAAGGCCATCTTAAAGAAAAGATGTCTAGTTTTCTTTCAGGTTTATTTTGTCCTTAGCTGCTTCTTAGGATTATTAATAGAATGTGTAGTTGTTATGGATGCTTTTTCTGATGTAAATGCTTTTCTACAGAGAACAAGATGAAAACTCTAAATTTGCTGACTTCAAGTGTAAAATGCTTTTGATTCAACAATTTTTAATTTGAAATCAAATTGCTGTAAGTTATATAGCTCAGAGTATGTTTTCTTCAAATTAATGCACAAAAATCTGTAACCTTCTCATATATATAAGGACCACCTAGACCAGTGAAAGAGAAATTCTCATTTTCAGAGACTACTTAGGAATGAAGTTAATGAAATGTTTAAAAGTTACATGAAGACAACTTTATGACATTCTTGAAATACACAAATGTAGACTTGAACAAATGGAAAGATAGTATGTGTTCTTTAGAAGGATGTTTCAGTATCACAAAGATGTCAGTTTCTCTCCATGTTAAAAAAAAAAAAAACCACAATCCTAAAAAATAACAAGTTTTTTTTTTCAAGGAAACAAAAATTATTTATAAAATACATATAAGCAATAATAAGCAAAAATAATGAGGAAATCCCTGAAAAAGGTAGTGATTGGATTGTGGATTAGCCCTACCAAAAAGCCTTACCATAAAGCCTTTACAATTCAAAAAGAGATGGTAACGGTATAGATGTATTGGTGGGACAAAAGAGAAACTCCAAAAATAGACCCATAAACTTGGAGACTTGGTATATGGATTTGCCATCTCAAATCAAAGATGGTGTTTTTAGTAAGTGATGTTGAGATCACTGGATCACAATTTGAGAAAAAGGTATTGGATCTAAACCTCACACTGCACACCAAAATAAGTTCAAATAGGTCGGAGATAAATGTAAAAAATGAAACCATACAAGAGCTGGAAGAAGGAAAAACAGGTGACTTTCCTTTATAACCTGGTGATGTCAAAAAAACTTTCTAACTCTGGCTCAATCTAGCTATAAAAGAAAAGATTGATAACTGTGACTCTATAAAAATTAAAGAGCATTTGCATACCAAAAATACTGTAAGTAAAGTCAATAGTAAATTGGGAAATGGTATTTGTAACCTATGTTACAGGGGCTGATCTCACTAAACTACAAGAGCTCTCAAAAAATGAGATCAGAAACCCACTAAAAGACTGGGCAGAAGCTTGAACATCCAGCTCACAGGAAAGAGAGTCAAAATGGCTTTTGATAGTATTTAAAGATGTTCAGCCCCACTCAGAGTAACTGGAGTTCAAATGGACACCACAATCTGAGATACCACTTGGCATTGAAAAGGAACAAGCTATTGATACCGATATTATGCTAAGTGAGAGAGGCCTGCCACAAAGGCTACCTGCTGTGATTCCGTTTCTGTGACATTCTGGAAAAGCAAAAATTTAGAAAATCAGATCTGTGGTTGTCAGGGGCTGGGGGTGGTGGAATGGGACAGGAGGGAAATGTTTGGGGTGATGAAAATATTCTGCAGTTTGGTTATGTTGGTAGTCATGTGAACATGTTTAACAAAACCGATCCAACTACACCAAAGAAGGTGAATGTTATGGTTTGTAAATTCTACCTCAAAAAAACCTTGAATTTTAAAACCATCAAAACCACACTATAATGTCACTTCTTTCTTATTAGCTTAGCAAAAAATTAGACTGTTGGAGATGCTGTGGAGAAACAGGCACCTCACCCATAACTGGTGGTAGTACATAATGGCACAACCCTTATGTAGGGGAATTTGGTACTCTCTAAAAAAATTACACATGCATTTATTTTATCCACTGGCCTAGAAGTTCTATTAACAGCTTCAGAGTATATTCCACTGAGTACATAAGTTATTATGTAACTGGTCCCCTTCTGGTGGACATTAAGATTTTTAACTTTGTTACTCTTACAATGCTGCAAGGCAAAACCACTTCATGTGTGTGGAGGGTATCTAGGGAAAATTCCAAGAAATAGAATTGTAGGGTAAAATGAAAGGTACATGTTTAGTTTTGAAGAGTAGTGTTAGCAAATTGCCACAGTACAGATTGTACCAATTTACACTCTTAACCACTGTTGAGTGAGTAGGACTATTTCCCCTCACCCTTGCCAACAAAATGTGTTATCAAGTTTCTGGATTTTTACCAAAATTATCTTATTTTAGTTTTATCCTTTGGTTAGTTTTCTCTTAAGTTGCCGGTCTCCTGTATTAGCCTTTTGCAATGTGAATTATAACTATTTTTCCCACTTTGTCTATTGTATTTTGAGTTTGCTTTTGTGACTTTTTTTTCTGTATAGTTTTTTTGTTTTGTTTTTATAAGGTTAAATATCTTCCACAGTTTATGGATTTTGAATCTAGTTAAAAGATTCACCCAAGATCATCTGGGTGGCTCACTTGGTTGGGCATCTGCCTTCTTCTCTGGTCATGATCTCCGGGTCCTGGGATCCAGACCCCCACTGGGCTCCCTGTTCAGGAGGGAGTCTGCTTCTCTCTCTCTCTCTCCCTCCCCACTACTCATTCTCTCTCTCTCTCTCTCTCAAATAAATAAAATCTTTTTTTTAAAAAATGGCCCTTCCCAGTCTAAAGTTATTACAGAACTTTGCCATATTTTTTCTAGTGTCTTTAGTAAAGCATTTTTCCATTTTTTACATTTAACTCTGATTCCATATGGAATCCTGGTGTATAGTTTTTTAAGTATGCATTATCCTAATATGGTTTACTGAATTGCCTATTTCTGCCCTAGTGACTTGCAATGCTACCTCCACTATGTATTAACTTTCCATGTAGTAGAGTCCAATTCCATTCTTTCAGCTTTGTTTCATTTGTCTGCCTATTAGGTGCTGGAACCACACTTTCTTAATTAAGGCTTTTACTGTTTGGTATAGCCAGTGCCCTGTTCCTTCATTCTTTCTTTCCTTCCTCAGCAGAGTTTTTCTAGATATTTCTACCTTTTTTATTTCCAAATGAACATTTGAGTTGTCCCATCTAGTTGAACAATGACAAAGCCCTCCAAAATAGTGCCCAGTACTAATCAGAAACTTTTTAAATTAAATTTGTCCTTTTTTTTTTTTAAGATTTTATTTATTTATTTGACAGAGAGATCACAAGCAGGCAGAGAGGCAGGCAGAGAGAGCGGAGGAAGCAGGCTCCCCGCTGAGCAGAGAGCCCAATGCGGGGCTCGATCCCAGGATTCTGAGATCATGACCTGAGCTGAAGGCAGCAGCTTAACCCACTGAGCCACCCAGGCACCCCAAATTTGTCCTTTTTTAAAGGTTTTTATTGAGAGAGAGAGAAAGCATGAGCCAGGGGGAGGAGCAGAGGGAGACGGAGAAGCAGATTCCCCGCCAAGTAGGGAGTCCAGTGCAGGACTCAATCCCAGGACCCTGGGATCATGACCTGAGCCTAAGCAGACATTTAACTGACTGAGCCACCCAGGCATCCTAAGTTAAAATTGTCTTAAATGTATAAATTAGCGACAGGAGAACATCTGTTTTCTTCCTAAGTAAACACAAAGCATACTTTACACTTCGAATACTAGAATTTTTGGCTTTAGATTTGAAGGATTAAAATACTGAAAATAACATTGTGTAGTAAAACAGCAATAGCTATAATACAGTTATTACTAATGTAATAGCATCTCACAGTGTCTATAAAAGCATTCGCAATTATTCATTAAAGTGCTTTTAGCGATGTGTCCCTTTCTGTGTATAACTATTTACTTCTCTGACTAGTCTTCCATATGTTCTAATGAAGCAAAGCTTCTGGTCCTAAACATTAAGTATTAGCTTGATACTATGATATAACTCTTAACTTCCTCCTCCTGTTGTCTGTCTCTATTGCCTGTCACTTGTTTAGATCCAATTGCATCATTAAAACACAAATATTTTATGGGTACTTTGAAAATCCGAAAGAATCAACTCGAAGAGCACTAACACAGCCAAATATAAGCAGATTAAAAAAAAAAAAAGTAGCGGTTATTCTACACACCAGAACTAACAGTGTAAGAAATATAATACAAGGAAAGACCCCACTTTCTATAGCAACAGAACTATAATAACCTAGGAAAAATAAATTTAATAAAGGTACAAATATTAGAAGAAAATTATGGAATTTTAATAAAAGAAATGAGAAGATTTTTAATAGCACAACAGTATTATAACACTTTCCTAAAATATTTGTACATAATCCCATTTTGATTTGTTTGGAATTGCATTATGTGGAAGTTTCAGTTTATTTTAAGAAAAAACAAGGTATTTTAGTTTAATAAGTTTATTTTAAAGTTCATCCAGAAGAGGGGCACCTTGGTGGCTCAGTGGGTTAAGCATCCAACTCTTGATCTCAGGGTCATGAGTTCGAGCCCCATGTTGGCTCTGCACTGGGTATGGAGCCTGCATGAGAGTCTCTTTCCCTCTCTCCTCTGCTCCACCACCCCCCGCCCCCGCCACACGTCTGTCTCTCTCTCTCCCATTCTCTCTTGAAAAAAGTTCATCAAGAAGAGAAGAGCCTAGAAATTTTTGAAGATGAGGCAGGCAAAAGACTTTCTCTGTAAGATACTAGAGTGTACTGCAGTACATAAAACTGTGGATCTCTGGCAGGAGCATCGAATTAAAAAGCCACTAAAATGCCAGAAGCATATGTAGGTTTTTCCCCACCATTTTCTTTTTAAGGTTTTGTTTGTTTATTCATCAGAGACCAAGAAAGGGGCAGAGGGAGAAGCAGGCTCTCCGTGGAGTGGGGAGCCCAAGGCAGGACTTGATCCCAGGATCCAAGGATCACAATCTGAGCCAAAGGCAGATCCTTAACCAACTGAGCCACCCATGTGCCCCCCGACCATTTTATTATGAAAGATTTTTTTTTTTAAGATTTTATTTATTTATTTGACAGAGATCACAAGTAGGCAGAGAGGCAGGCAGAGAGAGAGAGGAAGGGAAACAGGCTCCCTGCTGAGCAGAGAGCCCGATGCGGGGCTCGATCGCAGGACCCTGAGATCATGACCTGAGCTGAAGGCAGAGGCTTAACCCACTGAGCCACCCAGGTGCCCCATTTTGAAAGATTCTTAAGCATGCAGAAAAGTTGGAGAAATTTTAGAGTAAACATTCATATGCCTAGACCTAGACTCTACCAGTAACCTTCAGTGTTCTTGCTGTATCACATGTAGTCCTCCTTCAATCTAGGTTTTTTAATTCAAAGTAAACTTCAGATATCCGTGTTCTTTCCCCTTTAAACACCTCAGCATGTGTATTATTAACTGGGGTGTTTTGTTTTGTTTTGTTTTGTTTAATGAGGCTTTTATGTTTACAATTTTGGAATAGATTAGACCCTTAGAAGCATACTGGAAATTTTTAAAGAGAAAAATCAGGTACATTAATAAAGAGGTAGAAATTAATAAAATATTATCAGATTGCCAAGATAAAGATTTAAAACCTAGACGGGGTGCCTGGGTGGGTCAGTTGGTTAAGCATCCACCTTGTGATTTTGGCTCAGGTCATGATCTCATGGGTCGTGAAATTGACCCTCACGATGGGCTCTGCACTCAGTGGGGAGTCTGCTTGAGATTCCCTCCCTCTGCCCCTCCCCCCACCAGAGCTCGTGTGCTTGCTCAGTTGCTCTCTCAAATCTTAAGGGGGGAAAAAAAAACTTTAAAAAGAAAGAACGCAGACAATCCAATTTGGGCAAAAGATTGATGAACTAAGCTCCCTCAATAGTTATTTGTAGCAGTATTAGTGAATCGGCTTCTTTGGAAAGCAGTTTACTAAAATATTTCCATATGTAATATGTACGAAACCTTTAACCTAGGAATTCCATTTAAATTTGTTTCAAGGAAATATATATTAGGTTATTTAATATCTCAACATTTATAAGAGTGAAAAACTGAAAACCCAAATTAAAATAGGGAATTTAATTAAGTAAATCATGGTTATTTATACTGTTGGGTCTGTGTATCTATTAATAATCATAATGTTGAGTCATAGAAAACAAATAACAAATTGGTACATGTAAACCTAGCCATATCAGTAATTACATTCAGTATGAATGGAGTAAGTATTCCAACCAAAAGCAAAGTGTGTCAAACTACAAGATCCAAAATATATACTATATAGAAAAGGCTTTAAATTCAAAAATACAAATAGCTCGAATATACGAGGATAGAAAAATATGTACCATGAGGACAGTAACCACAAAGGAGCTGGAAGAACTACATTAATATCAGACAAGTAGACTTTTTAAAAAGCTGCTAGAAACAATGGAGAGATGTTTCATAATGATGGACAAAACTTCAGATTTAAAAACCATAAATGCATCCAATAACAGCACTAAAATATATGGAGCAAAAATAATTCAAAGGAAGAAGAGACAAATTCAGCCATTACAGATGGAGATTTCAATACTCTAATACTCTAATAAAAAAAGGTAGACAGAAAGTAAGGATATAGAAAACTTGAGTAATGTCCCAACTCTGTTTAACTGAAAAATATAGAACTCTCCACCTAGCAACAGCAGAATATACGTGCTTTGAAGGTACATATAGAGCTTTGTCAACAAGCTTAAAGGTTTGAGATTATTTAAATCCTATATTAGGTGCAAGAGAATCAGAAAACAAAGTTACATTCTTCAATCACATGTAAAGATTAACAATAGATACTTGGGCAATCCTTGAACACTTGGATTTTTTTTTAAGATTTTATTTATTCATTTGAGAGAGAAAGAGCATAAGCAGGGGGAGGAGCAGAGAGAGAGGGAGAAGCAGACTCCCCACTGAGCAGGGAACCCAATACAGGGCTCAATATCAGGACCCTGGGATCAGGACCCCAGCTGAATGCAGACGCCCAACCAACTGAGCCACCCAGGAACCGAACTTGGATTTTAAACTTTACACTTAAATCCATGAGTTGAAGAAATCACAAGGGCTATAAAACATCTTGAACTGAATTGAAAATGAATGCACAACATGAAAATAGTTTATGAGATGCAGCAGAAGCAGTGCTTGGAAGGTCATAGCTTCATATGCTATGAAATTCATATGCTCAACTTCCACTTGAAGCTAGACACAGAAGACCAAATCAATCTCCTGTAACTGAAAGGAAGGAAATAATAAAATTCAGAACAGAAGTAGATAAAATAGAAAACATAACAAAAGACTATCAATGGAACCAAAAATTAGTTCTCTGAAAAGATTTTTAAATATATTCTTTAACTAGACTAAGCAAGAAAAAAGACCCAAATTGCCAAAGTGAAAACTGAAAGAGGAGACATGATTATGAACCCTAAAAGGAACTGAAAAAGAATATTATGAATTTCTTTAAGTTCATAATGGACATTGGACAACTTAAACATCAGAAATTAGATAATTTCAATGGAATAAATAAATCCTTAAATAAACAAAACTTGACTAAAGAAGAAATAGGAACTCTGCATATATGTATATCAAGTTAAGAAATCGAATTAGTATTTAAATGTCATCCAACAAAGAAAAGCCTCAGCCCAGATGGTTTTGCTGATGAATTCTGCCACTTAAAAAAAGGATTAAGGGGCTCCCGGGTAGCTCAATCATTAAGTGTCTGCCTTCATCTCAGGTCATGATCCCAGGGTCCTCGGATCAAGCCCCGCATCAGGCTCTCTGCTCGTCGGGAAGCCTGCTTCTCCCTCTCCCACTCCCTCTGCTAGTGTTCCCTCTCCTGCTGTCATTCTCTGTCAAATAAAGACATAAAATCTTATAAAAAAAAAAGAAGAAAAAAGTCTATTTCCCTTCACTCAAAGTTCCATCTTTAGTGGAAAATGAAACCTGGTTTCATGACTTCCAGTTTGATAAGATAGAAGCTTAGTGAAATTTTTCCTACCTGAAGATGTTTTTGTTTTTCTTCTTTAATGGGTCTGGATGTTTATAACTCAAAACTTGGAAGGTTTGAAGATAATATCTTCTTCAGAATGAGAAACAATTTTTGTTAGGTGTTGGTAGAGGGTACCAATTCTATGGGTCAGTTTACTGTGTTAAAAACAACCTAGAAATAATTCGAAATTTAGTTTCTCATTCTTTACCCTTAGGGAATATTGAGGGAAATGCCAAATTTATTTCATCTCATTATGATAAATCCAACCTCTGGAACCACAACTTTGTGCTTGGTTGTGCAGAAAAATACTTCCCTGTTGTCAATTTTTAGACATTATTACAGATACAGAATTAGTTGACAAAAATAAGACTTGAGATAACCTCTTGATTTGGTTATATTTTATCTTTCTACATATGCATTTATCAATGTAATTTGACAAAAAATCACTTATTATTTCAAAGAGCAGTGTTATTTCTCTTTCATGATCAACTGAGGAAAAATTTCTCAATTATACTTAAATGTATAAGTAGCATTTCTGCTTTATGTCACCTGTGGACCAGCAAATCCAAGGTGATTCTCACATTAAGAAATTTAGAATATATTGATGTTTCTGTAAGTCATGATAAATATTGTTGGCAAATTATTCTGATATGCTGTGTTGAAAGGGGAATTCTAAGTGAATCTGGAAAATAATAGTAAGAAAATGTTTATGTGTTAACCATACTCTAATCTGATGAGTTAAACATTTTACTTTTGTGATATCATTTTAAGGTTCAGCTTAATTTTCAGAAAATGGAAAGTAGAGATACTTTTCATTGGCATTTTGCCCTTTAAAAAAACTTAATACAAGATTAGCAAGATATTAGAGCCGTGGTAATTGGATGTCTTTCAGGATAATAAACCATTAAAGTTTATGAGTCACGTTAACAAAGTCCTCCCAGTTCCACCATTTCCCTTTATCGGTTCATTCTACAATAAACATAAAATCCTCTGCCTGGAGTTCAGAGCACAGCAAGGGAGAGAGGAAAAAGTCAGAACAGAAACTCCAGAAAGTAATAAGCGGGAAATGTTCAGTAACCTTTTGATCCTCAAGCTCATGACAAATGTCCAGTGCTTAGTGCCCTGCCGGGACCAGCAAAGCTTGGCTATGGCAAGACTTCCTCTCAATGACTTAGCAACTTGTCTGTGGTCTCAAGGATGTAGGGACTCCCCAGACACATTTTCTAGAAGTCCTCCCAAGGCCAACTTAGTCATGGAGGGAAATTGAAGAAAAGGTAACAGAGAGCAACGTTAAGAGCTCTGGCCTTTTGGGTAGAGGAGTCACCTGATCATCCCTTGTTGGGGCTGCTGGTGGAAGCCTTGAGAAGCAGCAGGGTGTGGGCCACAAGCCAAGTCTCTGAGCATGGAGAGTATTGCCAGTTTCTTCCAGTGTTGACTCAGTGTCTCAGTGAGAAGAGCGCCATGCTGTGTCTGCTGCTCTATACCATCCCAACTTAGGGGAGCCCTTGGGAGCTTCGTGTGTCTGATCACAGACCACCACCTGATAAAACCCTCTAGTGTAACTCGTTTTCTTCCTTCACC